ACCGAAGGCCCCAGCGGCAGGGTTCGCATGGCGCCACCGCGCCAATTTCAGCGCACCCCTCCCACGTTCCGTGGCCCCATAGGGAGCTCCACTGAAGGCCCCAGTGGCAGGGTTCGCATGGCGCCACCGCGCCAATTTCGGCACACCCTCACACGTTTCGTGGCCCCACACGGGGCTCCACCGAAGGCCTCAGCGGCATGGTTAGCATGACGCCACCACGCCCATGTCGGCACACCCCTCACGCGTTTCGTGGCCCCATAGGGGGTTCCGCCGAAGGCGTGGCTCACAATTGCGGTATTCACCATTGCTTATGTTTGGGTCCTTCGCCAGGATCATTTTCGTTGACCTTCCGCCATCGCCCCCGCGCGCTCCCCGCCCTGTCCTCCCCTGCCCATCCCTGGGATCGCCTGCCATCTCCCCCCTCTCTCTCTCGTGCGTCCCCTGCTGCCCTCTGCCCGGCCAGGACGGGCTGTGGTGCGCGTTCAACAACTATCACATGGGCATCACCGCCGAGAATATTGCGGCGCAGGCCGCTCCCGATGGCTCCTGCCGGCGTGTTCCAGCCTCGCTCTCCTCTGCTCGTGCCTCCCGCCTTCTGCCTGCACGTCTCTCCCACACCACCTCCCTTTGGCACCGCTCGGACGTGTGCATGTTTTCTTCGTCGAGGACCATCGAGGAACCTCTTGGATCATCTTGCGAAAGAACTGACGCATGAGACCGAATCATGCACGGGGAATGGACGTCCGAGCGATGGCGAGGCCTTCATATTCCATCCAAGTAACCACGCTCTGGAAGTTACCACTCTGACGGATGTTCATGAGCAGTGGATGCCTTGCGCACGCAACCGTTTTATTTTCTCGATTGAACGATGTAAAGTATAAGAGAAAAGAGCCCATCATGAAGTTGGTTGAACGGACATGCTTCAATCATCACATGAGTTCACGCACACACGCGCACGCTGCTAGCAGCATCACGTCGCTGACCGCGATCATTTTACTCACGTGTGTGCGCCATGTGCTGGGCCCGCGTGGCGGTGCATCATCTGGCCTACATCTCGTTGCTTGCATTGATTCTGGTCCATTTGACCCTGGGCTCCTTGTCTTGCAACCTTTCCCAGGCGCCCTCGTATGTAGGTGATCTGCTACACATCGTGTCTCCAACTAATTCCATGTGGATGCTCTGAACGCGTCCCACGCTTTGTAGTTTTCAACCATCCTCTGGTGTTGGGTCCTCGTTTTGACGAGACAGCGCCCCGCGTTCTTTCTCCCGCTGCCTCTGACCTCCGCATCAAGTATAGCGTGTCGTAGCCCCATAGGGAGCTCCACCGAAGGCCTCAGTGGCAGGGTTCGCATGCAGTTCCACGCTCGATTTCGGCACCCCTCACACGCTTCGTGGGCCCCAGTGGCAGCGCCCGCAGGCAGTTCTACCCTCCATTTCGGCACACCCCTCCCACGTTTCGTGGTCCCATGTGGAGCTCCACCTAAGGCCCCAGTGGCAGCACCCGCATGCAGTTCCACCCCCTATTCTGGTGCACCCCTAACACGCTTCGTGGCCCCATAGGGAGCCCCACCGGAGGCCCCAGTGGCAGCGCCCGCAGGCAGTTATACCCTCTATTTCGGCACACCCCTCCCACGTTTCGTGGCCTCATAGGGAACTTCACCGAAGGCCTCGGTGGCAGCGCCCGCATGCAGCTCCACGCTCGATTTCGGAAACCCTCACACGCTTCGTGGCCCCACGGGGAGCTCCACCAAAGGCCTCAGTGGCATGCGGTTCTACCTTCCATGTTCGCGAACCATTCGCACGCGTCGTGGCCCCACATGGGGCTCCACGGCAGCCCCCAGTGGACAGCAGCGCCTACATGGCAGCCTGCCACATTTCGGCTCACCCTTCACGCGCTTCGCAGCTCCAGAAGGAGATCCACCGACGGCGATACTCACGACGATGGTACCCACAACTGCATCTGGTGGGGCCCCTCCGCCAGGCTAATTATGTTTTTTGTTTACCTCGGCCCGCAGCCACTACTCATCAGACATTGTCCAGCTGCCTGCTGCAAACCCCGCCACCGTATCAGAGCAGCTCTGACATGCAGTTAGGATGATTCAGCCGAATTCTCCGTACTGGGGCGGCCAAATACGCGCAGGGCAGTTACAGAAGCATCGCTACGGTGGTGGTGTTCGCGCTGCTGCAGCGTCGTGCGGTGGTGTTCGCGCTGCTCTCTGGGTTTTCTTGGTCGTCTCTGGGGGTCTTTCTTGGGCCTGGGAGTATGACAAGGTCTGAGTGCGAGAGTGCCTGCGCGTGAGCAAACAAGTATGATCTGTCCGATTTTGAACAGGTATGAGTACGAGTAGATATGAAAATGAGTAGGTCTGAGCATGTGTGATGACATCTCAGAGTTCCCTTCGGCTTCACGGGGCTTTGTGTCCTCCTACAGAGTTTCCTTGGAGCCTCCTGCTTGAGGCCTCCTGCGTTTTCTTGGAACCTCTTCGGGCCTCCAGGGAATATCCTCGGGTTGCATGGGGCCTCCTGGTGCCTCCCTCGGCTTCCTGGGATTCTTTCTTCCTGGTGCCTCCAGACTCCTGGCCCCATCCCCCCCTGGGATGTACATGCCCCTGGTACCTCCTGTGCCTCACTGAGGCCAGGGATCGCCTCAGCCTGGGGAGGGGGAGGAACGAGCAGGACGAATGAGAAAGATGTGGATGCGCCGACCCCAGCCAAGACCGTCATTCTGCCTGAGAGGTCCCGGCAAGCTTTTTATTTTTTCTTTTTTTTTTTTTTTTTTTAAGTTTTTTTTTTTTCCTCTTTTTTTTTTTTTCTTTTTTTTTTTTTTCTCTTTTTGTTCTTTTTTTTTCTTTACTCCTTCTTTTTTTTTTATTTCCTTTCTTTTATTTTTTTTGTTATTCTTTGTTCTATCGTTGCCTGAGAGGTCCCGGCAAGCTCTCGTCATAACCCTTTGGAGGCTCCCTTTGGCAGGCCTAAATGTAATGTTTGCTGCATCATGGTGGTGACCATGAGGCTCTGAACAGAGATGCTTTCTCCCCAACCCCCGAGCGGCCATTTTGCATGCGAGGTTCAGACAAGATGGGCCCGAGCGGGCCCGCGTCATGCCCTCTGGCGGCTTTCCCTTGGGAGGCCCAGGTGCAGTGCTTGCTGCATCGCGGCGGTCATGAGGCTCTGGAACGGAACACGTGTGTTCCCCCGACGCGGCAGTTATGTCTGATCTGTTCCATGCTTTGGACGCGTATGGTGGCCATGTCATACCATCGTCGCCCGCCCCCCCTCTTGTCATACCTAATTGGAGCATGCGGCTCTGAAGCAACACCTCTGCCCCACGAGCAAGCATCGTGCCTGCGAGGTCCTAGCAGCTTCAGCGCGAACGGGTCAGTGTCACATCACCATGAGGCCCACCCCCCTAGATGCCCAAGTGCCAGCTGCGTCGCGGTGACCATTGGGTTCTGAAGGGGGTTACGTCTGCCTCCCCCATTTGGCCATTCTGCTTGAGACACCCCAGCAGCCTGGACGCGAATGGGTCCGTGCTCTACTCCCTTGCAGTTCCCCCTGAGAGGCCCAAGAGCAAGGCCTGCTACATTTCGGTGTACATGGGTCTCTGACCACACACATGTCTACCCCGTGCAGGCGGGCCTTTTGCTACAGAGGTCCCCACAAGTTGGGCGCGAACGGATGCGTGTACTACGTATGGCATGGCTTTTTTGTTGTTCTCTCTCTCTCTCTCTATATATATATCTCTCTTTTTTTTTTTCTCTCTCTCTCTCTCTCTCTCTCTTTATACACATTTACGTGCATATGTGTCTATATGTGTTTGTTGTCTCGCTTTCGCTGCATCGTTTTGATCGGTTGTATCTATAGGTCGTTTCTGTGTTTGCGTAGGCCAAGTGGGACATCCCGCTACATCGTGATGGTTGCGCGGCGTCGTGCGTGTGTCTGGTAGGCGAGAGTCTGTGCAAGTATTTTTGTTTCTCAGAGTGGGGGACGACTCTGGGTGATACACCTGGGTGCTGGAGTGTCTTGGTGTGAGTGAGTCTGACTGCTACCGAGTCTGGGTATGAATAAGTCTGAGCTTGAGTTGGTCTGGGTATGAATGAACCCGAGTGTGAGAAAGTGAGTGAGTCTCAGTATGACAGAACAACTGTGTTTACGCTGAGTCTGAGCACCTGTGAGTCTAAGTATGTTCGGCTATGAGTGAGTCGGAACGTGATTGGGTCCGAGTTCGAGTGAGTCTAGGTTCTGAGTGCGAGTGGGTCTGAGTGTCAGCGGGTCTGAACGTGAGTGAGCCTGAATGTGAGATCGTCTACGCGTGAGTGAAGGAGGGAGGCACGGACATGAGGAGGTGAGGAGGTGGAGACTTGCCCCCAATGACAAAGCAGGCCCCACGTAGGACACAGGGAAACACTTTGGACATGCACTCGCGTAGAGGTGGCAGCTGGAGCACTTTGTACAACCGCATCGCACATATTGTTATCATCCACTGGGTGGATATCCGCGCTTGTCAGGAGGGCGTCACCAGAGAGGAGCAAGACGCCTTCGCCAACGAGTCCCAGACAAGAGCGCAGAAGGCGCAGGCTGACGGCAAGTTTAAGGCGCGACGCCTAGAGGAGGTTCAGGGTTCTGAGACATGATTCCTTGGAGTCGCGGCTGCTAGTCGGGGGCTTCGTTCTCAAAGGTGTAGGGCTGAGTCGGCCTCCGGGCCTTTATTCCTTCACCTCATCGCACAGGAAGCTGGGGCGGCTTGGGCCGTGGTCCATGGGTCCGCCAGCCCGAATTCCAAAGGGGAGATGGCGATGGCCGGGAGGAGGGAAAGAGGAGGAGGAGGAGGAAGAAAGAGGATGAGGAGCAGGACAATGAGGATGAGGAGGAGGAGGAGGAGGAGGGTGAGGGGAGAAGTGGAGTCTTCAATGAACATGAGGGCGAGGAGTAGGGACGGGAGAACGAGGAAGATGGTGAAAGTGCAATGATGATGTGGAGACATGAGAACAGGACGAAGAGCGAAATCATGATAAGCAGACATATGGACCGTAACCCGCCCGGGGGTGCCATGGAGGTCTCAAGGACGCCCTCTGGGGAGAAAGAGAGAGAGAGAGAGACAGAGACACGGATACAGATTTGGTTCTTGTTTAGAACTTATGAACATGAAAAAGAACAAGAAAACAACACCCCGGGTGTCTTTTTCACCGTTTTGCGTTTTGGGTTCCTGACACAGCTAAACAAGCTAAAACAACGCGACGGTGTTCTAGCGTTTTTAGCTCCCTTGTTTTAGCGTTGTTAGGCCCGTCGCTGTGGATCCTCATGTTTGACGTTGTGTTCTAACCGTCCTGTGTTGAGTTGGGTCCTCGTGTTGAAAAGAGATCCCCGCGTCTTGTCATCCTCTGCCCTCCTCCTCCTCCTCTTCCTCCTCCTCCTCCCCCTCCTTCTCCTCCTCCTCCTCCTCCTCCTCCTCCTCCTCCTCTCCTTCCTCCCGTCACCCCGCTCACTGTGGCACCCCCCTCACACGTTTCGTGGCCCCATAGGGAGCTCCACCGAAGGCCCAGATGCCAGCGCTTGCATGCGCCCACCGCACCCATTTTGGCACACCCCTCACACGATTCGCCAGTGCCTCTGATGATCGACACGCATGTGCTCCAACAGACTTAGCACAGGGCATGACGCAACCCCTTGGTCCCAGAGCCCCATCATAGCAGCGCAGTTTTCACGGCGCGTACAATAGCACCCATGCGCAATCTTTTGTGCAGGTGCAACGTCCAGCTCGAGGGCGATCATCGACAGGAGAATGTGCACGGCCGTGGTGCGCCGCGAGTCCTTGCGCCAGTCGCCGCGCTGCAGCTGCACTTCCACCAGCGCGGGTGCGACGCGGAAGGCGCGACTTCAACGAGGCGTGACGGCAGCCTGCGCACCATATTCGAACGCGTCTTCCAGCGCTATGGCTAAGCGCCAGCGCGACACCGAGCAGCGCACCCAGTGCCGCAACGCCAAGCAACGCACCCAGGGCCAAAAGCGAAACAGTACCACACACGGTGTGGCACTTTTGCGTCGGCACGAACAACCACGACAGGTGTCCGACAGCTGCGTTGTCGGCACCTACCCCGCAGCAGAGCGCATGCGCCAGAAGGCGAAGATTAAGGACAGCCGCGCGCCTAAAGCTCGCAAGCAGGTCGTAGAGGACTATTACGGCGACGACGGCACTGACCTCACAGGTCTGGCTGGCCCCGTATCTTCTGGCCTTCCCAGCCATTGGTGAGCCGGGCCCGCCGACGAGTGCGACGACGACGACCTTCACGGCAGCCTTGCCTCAGGCTTGCCCACGCGGTGGTTTCAGGGTTCGTCGGCCCTGGCATCGGGTGGTCATCCGGCGAGTATTCAAACGGCGCAGTTCACCGAGTTCGACGACAATCACCGCCTCCTCAAGCACTTCACCTCCATCGGTCACGGCTGCGACATCATGGGGATCTTCGGTGGGGAGTAGGATGCTCGGGCCAGCCCACTTGCTGTGCGCCGCCGCCTCAAGGTGGGCGCCTATCTCGATTCGGTCACGGGCTCTGACCTCAACGACGAGAGCCAACAGAGAGCCGTGGGGCGATGCACCTGACAACGCCGGCCCCGAGTGACCATCATGGCTCCCGCCTGCCAGCCTTTCGGTCATTAGTTTATATTGGATGACAAGTGCAACTACCGCAGTTGGCTGCGGTCCTACCGGGGCGCAGCATCTCATGGGCGATCCTGCGGCTACACTGCGCTGCTGCAGCTGCAGCTCGGCGGCCACTTCGTCAACGAGCAGCTCGGCCCATCGCGTCTGTGCGCCGAGCCGCCCTGGCCAGCAGCACCATCGACACCAGCCGTACATAAGGGCATCTTCGGCCAGTGCCGACTGAAACTTCGAGATCGTCACGGGGGTATTTTGAGAGAGACCACTGGCCTGGTCACCAACGCCCCGGAGATCCTCGAGCAGTTCGCGAAACTCACGTGCACCAATAAGAACGCACATGTGCACGTCGGAGGCCACTACAGCACCGACGCCCCGGTCTGGCCACGGAAGATGGCCGAACGACCTGCGCAGGGCATTGCGAACCTACGCCGGCCTCTGAGACTACCGCTCGTGGCGACGAATGCTTGCGCATGTGATGTCGATGCGGCAGCCTACCCAGCAGTGGCCTCAGGGTTCATAGAGGGCGACATCAGAAGTGCCATGGCAGCCCAGCGCGCGCGCGCTATCCGTGCAGTGCGTGCCGGCGCAAGGTACGGTGATATAATCGCAGCGCTTCCGGGGCCCAGCACTGCCGGCACCCTCGCCCCTCGCAGCGCGCCGATCCATTGGGAGTGCCCCTGCTGCAGCGAGGAGAAGGAACGCGACTCCCCATCGCGCGCCCGCGAGTTCGGCAAGTGTAGGTTCGCGGATCCTCATGCGCGGCCGCGCCCGCGCACCAGCCGACGCCCCCGAGCATCGGCGCGGCCTGGGGGGCCACGCCCTACCAGCGGTCAACGGGTTCAACTACCTAAAGGAGCCAACTTCGGAGCAGCAGGCGATGCAGCACTACCATCGGCACCGCCCAGCACGCCAGGAGCCAGCCCATCTTCCAGCGCTGGGGCCCAGAGCAGTTGGATCCGGCAGCTTCGTTGCAGGCCCACGACTGCGAGCCAGTCCAGCAGCCGGCGCAGCAGCGAGACGGGCAGCGCTGCGGGCTGCCGTCGCTGCTGCATACAATCCAACGCCGGCAGACTGGACTCGCTCGTAAATCATTGCGTCTCTACGAGCACTGCGCGGCGACTCGCACGAGGCGCGCGTGCGAGAGTTACGCAGGCTACATCTCGGGTGGGGGGCGCGCCACCAAGGAGGAGATGGCGCGAGCACTGCGCGCAAACAACATGCCAGAGGCAATGTTTGACCCCGCCCCCAGTGCTCCGCTATTGTCGGGAACGCCGTAAGTCGCTACCGCCAGCGCACCTCGCCATTCCCAAGAGCTGCCTCTCGACACTGGTCAGCGCGCACATCCCTCGCCACAAGAATCGCATGAAACTGACCCTGATCTGCTGCGCCTCAAGGTGGCGCGACGGGCAGGAGATCGCGGACAGATGCGACTTCCTCGTTGTTGGCAGCACTTGACAGATCATGGATCCAGCTCTGGTTTTGGACCAATGGAGACCTTCCTCGTGGATGGAGCAGGCGGGGTGACCTCCAAGTACTTCGTAGCGAAGATGCGGAGGAGAGGAGCCCAGGTGCGCATCCGTGCTTCACGCCTTATCGCTCGCTTCATAGAGCGACGCGGTGTCGTGCTACGACACGCTATACGCACCGCCGAAGAGCAGAGTGAGCGCGAGGGCATCACCGCCAAATTCGGCTCCATGCTGGCCCACGCGCGCTATCTTCGCGTGCAACGTCGTCTTCGGCATGGGGCCCGCCGCGCTGTCACCACTCGAAACAGACACAGAGGGCGAGGGCGACTATGTCGCCTGAGCGGGGCCCATGCCGGCGGTGAGAAGCAGCCCAGACGATTGCAATGGCGAGTCCGTGCTATCGCCCTGCGGCCCGTGATCGAGGTTACTTCGAACCCCCGCGTCAACGGCGCCCTCCGGACTCGCGCCACCGAAGAGGGGCGCTTCGAAGTGGGTGATCCGGTGGAGATCCACTGGCCTCCCAGCACGATGGGCGCGTCAGGCTGAGCAGGTCCCGGCGCTGTCTTTTCTGTGGACCTGGCCAGAGGCGTGGTTGCGGTCAAGTACCGCAACGCCGAGATGGTTTGCAGACTGCAGGACGCACGGACCTTCATCGGAGCCGTCTTCAACGACATGGGCCGTGACATGGGCACCGGCATGGCGCGAGCAGGCCTGGCCTGGGATCGCGTGGAGGACCTCCTGGAGCACGCGAAGCCAGGGCCGTCGGTCGATGGGGGGGCGAGCAGGGCAAGCAGCTGACCGAGCAGGCTCGGCAACGCCATGGTGTCCTCGATTTTCTGGGCCACTTGTCCCGCAGATGCTTCGCGCTATCTGGCGTTCGTGCCGTGCGCCTCCTGCGCGGTCAGAAGTCTGGGGGCGACTGGTCTGGCTGCGCCCGCAGCGCGGTCATCTGGCGGTTCCTCGGAACCCGGCGACGTCCACCAAATGCACCTGGACGGCGCCAGGTTCGACGCCCACCGTCTCATCGGCGAGCAGTGGAATGGCGCTCGCATCGTCCAGTTTTTCCAGGGTGACGAACAGCTACTGGCGGCCGACGCCGGGCAGGACCAGGACGGGGCGTTCGAATATTGCGTCATCGATGATCCCGAGGACGCCGCCAGCGTCCCCGAGGGCGTTTCACCATCGGCCCTGTCAGTGATGCCCGACGAGGCCAGCAGCGAATTCCCTGGCCGCATCCAACACGTAATGCTGGCAGCTTGGCAGGAGGCCGAGGGCGCGCAGGATCTGACCTGGGAGCTGCAGTGGCTGGAGGGCCCCGACAGCCAGCTGATGCTCTGCGCTGCAGTCGAGCACGCGGCCGCCAGCATAGGCCGCAGGCCGCGCGAGTGGCCCCGGCGCCTGGGGATTCAGCGCCAGCGTCAGCGCATCCACGCGCAGCGTCATTGCTATGAGCGCGGCGCCACTTTAGACAACGACGCCAAGCTCGACGAGGAGGACGAACGAAGAAATCACGTGGAGGTGCGCTTGGGCCCAGGAGTGCGGAAAGCATTCCTGAGCTGCCACGTGGGCAACTATGTTGCCGGAGGGCCCGCCGCAGCCGCGCTTGAGGTCTACGCCGCCGTCGAGACCGCGGTGCTCCAGCGCGACGCCGATCTCCTGATCAAAGCGGCGGTGTCGAGGCTGGCCAAGGGGGCAGCCGCCCCTGTCTTCAAGGAGCTCACCGTCTAGGTCAAGTGCAAGGGTTTCGAGCGACGCCCTCGCCAAGGCGCTCGCAAGGCGATGGGCTCCAGTCGTTCTCTCAAATGGAGGCGCCAGAAGGGGTCGGGCGGCAAGACCGCCGGGATCATCCGGCGCCGCGTGGCAATGAGGGGCTTCCGCGACGCGGACGCAGGGGCCCTGGAGACGTTCGCTGGCGCGGCGGAGCTGGCGCCCCAGCGCGCCTTTCACTTCGGTGGCGGCGCGTCGCCCGGACTGCGCTCGCGTCGCCGTGGACGTCGATGGGGTCCTTCCTGCAGGGCATGACCGATGCTGAGATGCCGCGCAGGGCGAAGCACTTAGAGGGATCAACTTCACCCTGCCGCCCAGCAGCGCAGGCATATTCCAGGCTGCGAGTCCCTCGACGAGCGGGCCGAGTGCCCGCGGCGCATGATGCCGGGCACGGGCTGCAAGGATGCGCCCAGGGCTTTCTCAATGAAGCAGGCTAGGGTCACGCGCTCGCACGAGTGCAACAAAGAGCCGACGCTGCGGGGCCCAGAGCTCGAGGTCAAACGCGAGGCGTCGGGCACGTGTGGCGCAGGCGTGTCAGAGTTGGTGCTCATTCTGTCCAAGCGCGTTGACGGTCTCAAGATCGCCGGACGCAAGAAGCACGTCGACCGACTCATCGGCCACATCGAGAGCGTCTTCGGCAAGTTGAAGGGTGACTGCGACGACTTCACCAACCGCGGTGCCCACCAACACCGCAGTGCCGATGGCGCAATAACGCTCGTCCAGAACGCGCGCGTCGATGCGCTGGCCTCCGTCGGACACGTCGACCTGGTCAAATGGGAGGCCGCTGAGCCAGCCGGAGGTGTGCTCCATGTGCTGCTCGCGCAGCGCCGCGTCGCCGTCTACGTCGTCGCGCTGCAACGGGCCCAGGACAAGCTGCCTAGCGGGCACGTGATGCAGCTCAGCTCCGTTGTTATGGCCGCGCAGGAGATCAAAGCGCGCGCCGTCTTCCCGGCGATGGAGCGCGCGGGCCAGATCGGCGTGCGCAGCGACGGTTCGTTCAAGCGCGAGGATGCGAGAGGACGCGGCGTGCGTGGCGCCGTATACATGCGTCTGGGCAAGTGTCGTAGCACTGGTAAACAGATCTGCCACTTGCTTGACGCCGTGCGCGGATCATGCAAACTTGCATAGATCCTCATTCGGCCCCGAGCTGCCCGCGCCACGCTGAGCAGCAGGCGACCGACAGGCGCACCCCCCCTCGCTCCACGAGATGGCTCGCGGACCCACCTCGGCAGATAAGATCAGGAGGCTGAGGGAGGAGGGGGCTTTCGCTGTACCGGCCGAGCTGGTTTTGGACGGCATGTCCGTTTTCTCCGCACTGGCCGCGGATTACGTGCGGCCGTCATCGGAGAATGGTATGGCAGGCCACCTGTGGTGGCTAGCAGACCAGCTGCGCGCCCAACGGCAGTCCGACATGCCGCGGTGCGACGCCCGCGACAGGAGGGCCGACCCCATGACAGAGGGAAGTATTGGCCGTGAGCTCGTCCCCGACGGCATGGAGGGGGAGCTCGCCTATGCGCGCCCCGCGGTGGGGTTGAGCGAGGAGCGGCAGAGGACGATTGTGCCGAGCTCCAGCTACTGCAGCCTCAATAAGGACAGCGACCACGGGTGATCTACTGGGCGCCGCATGTCCCAATTGCGTTCGCGAGCGCGTCGGCGGATACGCATTTCGCGAACTCTGTTCGCGAATGCGACACAGCGCGCCAGGGAGGGAATTGCGAAGAGACTCGCATGTGACGAAATATAGTCGCGAATGCGACGTAGTGATCCACGACAATGAGGGGCTATCACCATGAACTTTGTTCGTGGGGAAGCAGGCCGTTGCGCGTTGATCGCTAATCATAAATGCGGTGCTTCACCATCTGTCTGCTGCCAGCTTTTCCGATCGGTCGTAACCTCATGTTGCCAGACCTGGCTACTACAGCAGAAGGTCTTCGTGCAGTGCAAGTTCATATTAGAGAGGTGGTTCGAATAACCCCTTCCTTGCCCCGTTCCGCACTGTAACTACTTAGTGTGGCCAGTCTGTCGTGCTCGGTGGTGGTCTGGGCGGTTGCTGCGTTCGGGCTGCCAACGGGGCACGACGGAACCGCTTGAGCACCAGACTCGAACGGTAGGTCTCTTCTTCCTTGAGCACGTTAGCAGGGTAGCATTGTTGGTTCACCAAGGGTATGTGGCTCAAGGTGGTCACGTACCGCCGCCGCCATAATACACACATCTTTTTTAGACACCGCTACACAGAAAACGCCCGCTTTCATCCACCACCCCACATTCTAGTTGTTCCTCCCCCTTCCACAGCATCGCTCCGTATGTTACAGCAGAGATGGTCTTCTACCCCGCTCGGCACTCGGCGGATAGAAGACGGTCCGACGCAAAGGAAAGGGATGTGTGGGAGGGGTGGGATGCCAGATATGGCGCAAGTGCGCTTTCCTTGATTCCCCCCTTCTGTCCCGTCCCTTTTGTTCCCTCATGTCTTATCTCTGGTTATTTCCCTCCCTCGCGCTGCTGCCCCTGCGCGCTCATGGTCTCTCTGTTCATCCCTCCTCCTTCCCCTCCTCATCATCTCCTCGTCTTCCCTTCCGTGCTGCCTCCGAAGGGGGGAGCGGGTGGTGGCGCCG